TGAGGTGTAGGTAAACAGGCTTTCTGTTGGTAAGGCCTTTTCAAATGTTAATTGACTTCCTCCCTCTCAAGGGAAATCTCTTTACCATCTCCTAGAGAAGGAAGTTTTGTTAGTAGGTTAATTATTTTCTCTCCACAGGTAGTCTGACTCACGGTGCTACAGGGTTTTTTTGTGTGCACCAAAACAAGAGCCTGCGAATTACTATATAAAGAAAATGATTGTGCTACCAGTTCTTTAGAACAGTAACCTTCTATGTCTATGTAAACAATAAGTTACTAGTTCAGGCCCCCATGTACTGATAAGATTGATTTTTATTATCTTTCAACTCTGTGTGGTAAATGTTTTAGTCTAGTCCTAGGATGATTTGAGGATAATGGTTCCACTGTCTCTTTTGTGTCTTATGCCATCCTCAAATTTTAACCAGGAAACACGTTAGGTAGTTATACTGTTTTATTGATTTTTGATTCATAATAATCAAAATGCAGTCTTCAAAATAACATGTGATGTATTTGTAGAACCTACATTATGTTTGCTTTTATTCATTTTATTCTCAGATTTGGCTTCTGAACAGTTTGTTCCTTTTAAAAATGAACAAAAGCATTTCCAGCTATGTCAAACCTTTTCCTTTTTTTTTTTAACCTCATAATCTCCGTGTGTGTGTGTGTGTTATGGGCCTGATTTTCTAGCCCTACATCAGTGTAGTTCTTTTGAAAGAGAATAATATAAATCAGATCCTCTTGATGAGGATAAGGTAGTTGTACTTGTTGGTTTTTACTTACATTTCCTATATTGCCAATCTAGTTGGGTATATTGCTTCAGCATTACTATGGTATGTAGTACTGTGAAATTAGTATAAAAGTTCTGTCTGCATTTGGTGTATCTTTTGTCTGCTCTTTGATCCTGCATTGTCATCTGTTCTGTGCTGTCTGCCACAGGCTGAATCTTAAATTTTGCTTCATTAGTTTGTTACTCCCCATCTACATTGAAGCTGTGTGTGAGGGAGAGTGGGAGTACTGTTTGCTTTGCAATTTGGTGCTGCTAAAACTTTAAGCATATTCCTAGTCTGGCAACCTAGTTCAGTGTTCAAACACCTAGCTGTTCAGACAGAAGCAGTTAAGTCCTTGAGGCTAAACTTGCAGCACCAAAGGCCTTGCATTCTTTGAATACTAATCCTTATGTCATCTCTCATCACTACTTGGTCTCTGTAGGACTGCAGAAATAGAGAGCCTAATCCGTTTAGCTGTTTTTTCCCCTTCTTTACGCACATCTGCAAAGAGACAACTCAAAAATTTGACCCGATTAAGATCAGCCTGGCTAACTGAACATTCTCCCCATTTTTGAAGTACAACGTTGCTGTTAGCCTTCTTCGTTTGGAGTCAGTAGTCAAGGGCTTCTCTACACTGGGATATGATGCTGTTTTAATTAGCATATGTTGAAACACGGGGGTTTTTTTCCCCCTTCCCCACAGCATACAGCAACTCCGTGATAATTTGTCATGCTCATTGACTGCCTTTTGGTCCCCTGATTCCCTGTTTGGTTTTGTCTCTCTAATGAACTCTGTTTGCTTAGGTTATTCAACTCCCTTTCCAAAGCAGAACTTTTTTTTTTTTTTAATCACTTTCTAATTGAATCTACATCAGTTGATGTGGGTGTCTACATATGATTTCCAGCTGTTCTGCACAGTTTACCTATCTTTTTTTTTTTTTAAACATACTTCTACCTCCTCTGTTCTGTTATTGGTATTTCTCCAACTAAAGTTCAATAACCAATTTCTTTCTCAAATGAAGCAACTGTTGTGCATTTAAAGACATGGTAGGTCTTATTTCAACACTAAGCAGTTTCTGCATTCTTCTGACTACTATTTGTTATGTGCATTCCTTTTTTCATCTCTAAACTTTCCTGGAATTACTTGGCAAGTGGTGGTTCTGCCCACCTATTGAAATTGAATTAACGGAACATACTTAGCAACTGCTCATTTTCATGTCTTTGTTGATTTCCCCAAAAATCTTCTGCTAATATTTTTGCATAAAATAAATAACTTAATATATCCTACCATTTTTGACTAGCTTCTCCACCTCTACCTCTCCACAGTAAACATTCTTCCTCCCTCCTGAGTTAACTTGCTCCATCCTGTCTGAAAGTCTTTTCTGTTATAAACTCTGTCCCTGGACACTTGCCAGCAGTTCACTGTATCCACATAAACTGCCTCCAGCAACAGTATTGTGTAGCAGTGAAGAGCCAACCAGTGGTTATTCAGTCCCCAGGGGAAACTAGTTTATAGAGGATGCACAAATATGTCTAATTAAGTCAAGAAAAATATAATTCAATTAAGAGAACAGCTTGTGTAATGAAGACTAGCAGTGACAGGAACTTGGTTTTCCACTTTGAGCTGTTGAAGATCAGTAGGTGGAAATAGGTGTTATTAGATCACAGCAGATCAGGCCCTCTTTTCAAAGATCTGTATGATATGCATCAGACTTCCCCCCTTTCCCCTTTGCATTCAAGGGACTTCTTTAGAATTCAATTAAGAACGTATTATGGGCTCCTGGTGCAAATGCATATATTACGTTCTGTATTAGTTAATTGCACGTCTGTTGGTATGTCTGTCTTACTGCTTTTGAAGACTCGGCTTCCCTTTTGCATTTCTCTCTATACATCCTATTCTAGGGTTCATCCAGGAAGACTACCTGCGAGAGCTGCTGACGACAATGGGAGACAGGTTCACAGATGAAGAGGTAGATGAGCTGTACAGAGAGGCACCCATCGACAAAAAGGGGAATTTCAACTACATTGAATTCACGCGCATCCTGAAACACGGAGCAAAAGACAAGGATGACTGAGCAAATCCATGGATACCTGCAGATAGCTTCCCCCCCCCCATAATTTTTTTTTTTCTGGTTATGTTTTTTTCTTTTTTCTTGTTGGTACCTTTTGCATACGTTTTTAGCATTCCAGCTTTTTCCTCTGTGGACTCTGGGGCTGCTCAGGCACACCTGCACCTTTGTAGTAAGACTAGAAATGGGCAGGGAGAGAAGAGAGCTTACAGTGATAGAGGTTTAGGGACAAAGATCCATGAGTGTGGAGGCCCAGGTAAAAACGTCAGTGCTACTCATCCTAGCTAGATTAATTTTACGTTTTTAATGGTAACTTTTCAAATAAAACACTGCTATATTAAGTACATCATTAAAATTTTCATGCTAGAAGTGGACTGTTTATCTAATCATATCTGTAAATATTTTTGCAACTATATGCAGTCATGTTGTTACCTATTTTTGCCTTAAAAATTAAGCATAAGTCACTTAAGCATACTGATGTTTGTACTTCAGCGACCAAGTACTTCACTTACTACTGTGAGCATATACAATGAAGAAACTCCCATCCTTCAAATTTTAGTGCGTTGTAAATTAATGATTTCTGTCCAAGACTTGCACATTAAACATTTTAAACCTTATGGATGTAATCAAGAGGGTACTTTACCACCTTAGCGCGTCCTTTTCTTTACACTGAGTACAATATTAATACTGCTTTTTAAAAACTTAAATGGCAAAACCTAGTGTTTTCTTAAAAAACGATACCGTGTGTGAGTAGGATGCTTGGGTGATGCCTCTTACCAGATCTGCAGGGCTGGCAATATAGAATTCATTACATTTCACTGCAACCATTTGTTTTTGTCTTTCTTTTCTCTTCCCATCTTTTTTCAAAGCACAGTGAGAATGGGGCTGGATTAAGAAGGAAGGTGTGCTGTCTCTGTCCATTTTGTTTTCTATCTGAAGATGTTGTTCTTGCTTTCCAAATGAAACAATATACAATATATTTTTTAAGAGTTTCTGCTGAGAGTGCTGCCTTGCGTGTGTGAGGAGGAGGCGTTCCTTTTTGTTCCATTTCTCATAATTATATCCTCTAGTTCTTGTGGTATGGAATGCACAGCAGATTCGCTGCAGTGCTCCGAAGCAACCTTGCCATAATCTGAATACTTGTGGTTCTGGTTTTTCGGTCTGGAGAGAAAGGGCGATCAGAGCTGCTTCTGTCACCTCTAGGAATTACATTGTTATCCCTTAAGAATTTAGGTTACAAAGTTAAGAAACGTCATTTGTCCAAGAGCATTTTGCTGTTTCTTGGTAGGCTGCTGTTGCAAACTGAACTTTTAATAAATTTCCTTAGAGGACAGCGATTATTTGTTTTAGAAATACACTGTTCTTTCATGAATAACCTACCAGGACTGTTGTCTTTTGAGAAGGGCAATGCCATAAAAATCGTTCACTGGTTAGAAAAAGAAGAAAGCTCTGAAAAGAGCTTCCGTAAGAAAAAGCTCTGAAGCTTCTGCTCCACTTCAGTCCCCGTTAGCGTTGCAGAAGAATGGGAACGCTGCGAACATGGGAGGCTAGCAGTAGGCCCGTAGGAAGAGTATGGAGGATGCTGAAGAACAGAGAGGGGGCAGGAAGGGTTCGGAGAAGACAGAAGAAGAAATCCACATGCTTCAAAAGTAAGTTTTCTCTCAGTTGCTGCATTTCTTTTTTTCTGGAAATATTTACATTTAGAGGGGGCAGGGATAAAAAGTGGAACTTTTGTAAACCATCCGTGAAACCAGTTTTGCCGTGTCTGAAGGAGGCGAGGTCGGTGAGCTCCTCACC